ATCCGTCCTCTTCCTCACACTCTCCTGTCGATTATCTACCTTCATTCTGCCTCGACCCGTCTTTCATCCCTCTCCTTCCATTTTTCCTCGCTGTAATCCCCCTCCCGTCCTCCTCATCCTCCTCGGAGGCCACTGAATGGGCAGCTCAGAGGAGGGAAAGTGTCGAGGCTGCAGGATTTCTTCCCAAAGGGCTTAATCTGCCGAGGCTCTGCGCGTCGATAGCCTCCTGCACACCTCTCCCCCAACAACGACTGTCTGTCTGCACAGCCCCAGCAGATAAAGAGACGTTTCTCTCACACGGTGTGTGTCTCTTTCCCAGCCCAACATTTTTTCAGTTCGCCGTTTTCCCTCCCCACCTCAGCCGGCCTCTGTGATTGACAGGCACCTCAAAGATGCACGCGTGCGTGGGCGGCCGCTCAAATGTGCAGCTTCGTTCATTTGTACCTGAACTTGTCGTGCAGCGGTATGCGTGTAGGTGGGGAGGCGAAGTCACCCGCATGGAAACCGCCCGGCTCGTATGGCGAGCGTGGGCGTCGCTCCTCTCCGGTAACAGAGTAAGGAAGCCATCGCAGCTCCGTCAAATGTCAGGGAATCTTAAGTGTGCCTTTTAAAGCACAATAGGTGGTGAAAATGCCAACACTTGAAGGGTCTATTACGCCCCAAGCCTTTGGTGCTTGTTTCTTTTCCTTTATTGAAGCTTTCGCAGAAATCTGGAGGAAACTGGCAAAAGAAATATCAACCCTTTCATGTCGAGGACAGAGTCGATCAATTCTGTGTCTGAGTGGTTAAGTCTTGTGCATTTTTAATGCAAATGCTACATGTGAGATGGATTTTTCTCACCAGCTGCACGATTCTGTGAAGATGTTCGTTCAATATAACGTTCATTAGATTTAGGGATCCCTCTGGAGCATCAGCGCACACACAAACACGCTTTCATATACAGTGTTGCCACAACAAAAGGCAATAAAGACCTGCAGTGTGTGTGTGACATCGTTTTGCACGCTCAGACTTCACATGTTATTTTGCGCTTGAGTTTCTGCGTTTGGCGTGTTTGCGGGAGATAACGCCAAGAACGAAAGCTGTTGCAGCCATCGGGGTGCGGACGGAGAATGGGGTCTTTGTTGCGGCGTTAGCCTCTCATTAACGAGTCGGGGTGACCCCTCGGAACCCCCGCTAGACAGGCCGTCTGCGTGTCACTTCCTGTCTGAGGCTTGCGGAGCGACGCCATTGGCGGACTATTGTTCCTGGGAGAGCACGATAGGATCGGGGAATGTGTCCTAATGTTTGCAGATTGGCTTGCCGGAGCAACAATTACACTTGGAGGAACGCTCCCTGTGGAGAAGCGAGGAGATAAGAGCCTGGGTGTGGAAGAGGGTGAAAAAGGATGTGTGTGTGTGTGGCAAGTAAACAATGATGATCTTTTTGTTTTAATAGCTTACCCACGTGGCGCTGTTCTCATTGACAACCCACAGCGGAGAAGTTTTTCCAATTTTCGTCTAACTGATGGTCTAAATTGCTTCTTTTGTTTTAGCCTTCAGTTGTTGCTCATGTAAAGAAAGGAGCTTCTGATGTGCAGTTACAGGGTTTGCAGCAGATTTATCTGGTTTAATGAAATTCTTTTGTCTTTCTGTTAGCAAAACATACCATGAACAAATGGTTCATATCCCAATTCCAGCCTTAAGTACTCATACTTGTACACTTAAAAACACCCCAAAGATGTCAGACCAGTTAATTACTTGGTATTGGCAAGTACCCAAACTTTAGTACCTTTACTTTGCCTGAAAACATGTATCAGACTAAGAATCCTTGAAAGTAATCATTGGAAGTATATCTACTGTATCCTGATCCATGCTCAATAATCCAGGTAGAAAAATCCAGCAAAGATAAGTTGGGTCCTCTGGACAGTTTATTTTTGTTAAAACATTTCATCTTTCAGTCAGAATACTTCTTCACTCCAATGAGCTGCAATAAACGCAGTCTTATAAATAGTACCTTTGCATAGTGGAATCCGTTTGATGGGGCTCAGGTGGTTTCTGTAGTCCAGAAGACCTGACTTACCTTTGTTGGATTTTTATACCTGGATTATTGAGCATGAATCAGTATACAGTAGATATACTTCGAGTGATTACTTTAAAGGGTTCATGGTCCGATACTAGATGTTTTCAGGCGGAGTACAGGTACTACAATTTGGTTACTTGCCGTTACCAAGTATTTAACAAGTTGGTACTTGAACTACCTAGTGGCTTTACAAACGGTGTGCTGCTATAAAAAAACATCACTTGTACTTATCTTACAATATCTCAAAACTTTAGATGTTTTTAGTTTTTGACCTCCATTAATTGCAAAGCGGAAGAGCAAATCATGTTTGTGTTGCACGCTAGCTTAGCACTACGTTACTGCCAGTATTTATCAAGCGGGGGAGGCTTGAGAGAAGAAGCAGAGCGCTACGTTGGTAACATTTTTTGCTAGCGTGTCTGTACTGGGCGTTTCTAGTTTCGTGCTGCGTCAGTGCCGACAGTTGTCAACAAGGGGGGAGAGGGGGTGATGGACATCCGGTAGGCAGAGCGCTCTGTTCTGTTGACAGGTCGGGGACTCCCTCCTTGGATAACAGTAGGAGAAACACTGCACTATGAGGAGGTGCTATTTATAAGACTGAGTTTGTTGCAGCTCCTCAGACTGATGAAGTCTTTTGGATGAAAGATGAAACATTTCAACAAACTGTCCAGAGGACCTGACGTAACTTTGTTAGGTATATCTACGGTACATCAGATTTTTATTTTTATTTTTTAGAGTTTATCCCATTCAAGCTGGTTGCCGCAGCCAATTGATCTCAGCAAACACACAAATGGCTGTAAATTAATCAATTTTATAAATATCATGCGAAGCTAGGTGTGGTAGTAGCTGAAAGTTGTACAGTATCTGAATATCACTCATAACATTTACACGATTTAACCCAAAAGGCTAAATGATGAGATGATCCGGCATGAAAGGTGGCAGGTGATACGCATTCCTTCAGGGAAGGCTATGTCTTTAAGTTAATGCTAAATAACCTCCATACCCAACTTGGTATTTCATTTCTGTTTTATTTATATATTTTTTTACTACAGTGCCAAGCTGCGGAGGCTTTCTGGATGCAAGCAAAGCTGGTTACATCACCTCCCCTGGCTATCCTCTGGAGTACCCGCCCCACCAGAACTGCCACTGGATCATAAAGGCGCCGGAGCCCTCGCAGCGCATCGTCCTCAACTTCAACCCCCACTTCGAGATCGAGAGGCTCGACTGCAAGTAAGACGGGAGCGGTGGAGTCGACTCTTGACTCGTTGCTCAGTCTGAGTGATGATTTGTGTTGACACTTTTATTGGCTTCCTGTAAATCAGCCATTTCCGTTTGAAGTTGGTTTCATAGGCTCGTGACTGTCGAGTTGTGGTTTGGGTTGGTTGTATCATTTCCACATTCTGACCACAACAGGTTTGACAAAGCTTATTTCTTTCTTTTTCTTTGTCACATCATTGTTACCCTGGATGTTGCACCACACTGTGTTCTTTGTGTTTTAAAGTCCTCTTCAGACCATTTACCGGGTTAAATTCAAGGCCATGATGCTACAGCAACAAACCTAAAAATTTAAGAGAAACATTTGTTTATTTCAGGTTTGGAAATAAGGATTTATGTGATTTTCATGTTAGTTAATCTAATGATTGAGGCTAAAAAAATACACAGTGTTCCTGAAAATATCCATTTGGGCAAAGGTGTTGCAACAATTATATGTGAAGAGGACGTGTCTCCCCCCCCCCCCCCCCCCATTTAAAAAAAAATTATTTGGCCCCCCCCCCCCCCCCTCCATTTACCATGTAATATTAGTTCACCCAGTGCTGTTTCTTTTTCTTTGTGAGCAAATCCATTCCACTTGATTAATAAAATACTCAAACCAATAAAAGTCCACTCCCGGTTTTCCTGGTTACCTACAACAACTCCACATCACATGCAGAGTTTCCCCAGGATCATCTACCTTGGCAGGGCGCTCACGGGGGGAAGAGTGAGAGACACCTATATTTTGTGCACTAGCTTAGCACCTCGTTAGGGCTGGCAGTTGTTGATGAGGGTGGGGGATTAGGATGTACAAGAGAAGCGGAGCGCTACGTCTGTAGCATCTTAGCTAACGTGTCTGTATTGCACGCCACTAGCTTAGCACAATGTTAGTTCCGGCAGTTTCGAGAGAGGGGAGTGGGGCTAGGGTACTTGAGAGAGACGGAGCGTGCTCTGTTCACACAAGGAGAGCTGTTGGTCAGGCTACTAAAATAGTTCTGTTTCCCCAACCGTTATACAAGCAGGGTGCCCCGCTCTGACAACAGAACCGAGCGCCCTCCCTACCAACACCCCCCACCACCACCAACTGTCTGTATCAACGTAGTACGGAGCGAAATACAAATGCTCTAGCAAAAATGCTACTGACGTACCGTTCCGCATCCCACCGTCATCAACAATGCAAACACGCTAGCAAAAATGCTACCGACATACCACTTTCCCCCCACCCACCCGTCGACAAAACAAAAATATGATGAGCCCCCTGCCATGGGAACTGATCTAGGGTAAACACTGGCTATTGAATCAAGCATTTACTTATGTAGGTAAACGTAGATGTCCCGTCAAAATACACCAGAATGCAGGAAATGGCATCTACTTTATTCAAAATCTTCTGGGCGAGAACTCCCAGAACCCCCCCCCCCCCCCCTGACATTACAAATGCTTCTGATGCCAATACGTTTGGGTATATTAGGAAACAGAAAAGTTAAAAGTTTTGACATTATCAGGAATATAAAGCTGCATCCCCCTTCATCTGATAATCAAATGCCAAGAGGTTTTTGAACTCTGTCTGAATTTGAGAAAGAAAAACAAAACTAAAACAGGATGAAAGAGCAGAATGACTGTGGGTTTGAGGGGGCGCTGGTGTGGGCAGATGAGAATAAACAGGAATTGGTTGGAGAAAAGAATCAGAAGGCAACGAGACCCAGCTGTTTATGTGGAAATACGAGCATGTTGGTCAGTTCCCAATCTCAGAGACATGAGTAATCCAAAGCATATGGTCATCTATTGTTTTGGCCTTCAAAGGAAATCAGTCTTCATTGTTTGATGCCGTTTTATACAACCGGGACAAGGAGAACAGAACGTTTCACATATCACCCAGTCTGAGTCCAGCTATTCAGTAAAAAACGAACTCAGACAAGGTTTATCTGACCAGTTTACCATTTATGACGCATCCCTTTCTCTATAAACTCCAGATTTAATAATCCCAGATGGCTTTTGTTGCATTGTTCGCTGACAAAAGATGGCCAGGAGGAAAATGTTGATTTCAATAGCTCCTCCCGTGAAAGGATGTTGTAATGATTGTCAGCTCTTTTCACGGGGCTGTGTCACATTGCAGCAGCGAACTGGAAAAGTCGTTTTCATGTCTGCGCTTCGTGTTTCTGTCGCTTTTCGTCAAAAGGCACGACGGTGCATAATTATCTCCTCTTGCAATATGTTTGTCGGCTTTAACACCAGCGTCACGGTGCGAACGCCGCGGCACATCGGACTTCCTGGAGTGGTGGTGAGAGCTCAGCTGTTGTTAAGCAGCGTGTCGGGCTGATTCTCACAGCCCACGGCATGCAGGGTGGAAAGAGGCTGGAGAGGGAGGAAAACTGAAATAGCCCCCGATTTCCTTTCCTCCACAGACCGTTTTATTGGGATAGTTCCTTTCTTTTTTTTAGCACTTGCCTGGAGGGTCGTGTGCCTCTGCTTGCCCTCTCACTCCCACTCCCTTCATCCTGTGTGCTTGAGTGTACTGAGGAAAAGTCAGTATAGGTGTGGGGGCGTGGGTGGGTGGTTGGGGTGGTGATCATCTACGTGTGAGTAACTCTGCAAGCATCTGCCCATCCAGCTCCATGTTGCATGCCCTCGAGAAAAACAGGAAATACCACCACTGTATATACGCATGTGTGGCACAATACAAAAGGACAAAACAATATACTTGATATAACTATACTTTATAATACTGTACTTTACAATATGACATTAAACTAAACGATACGTCTAATGCTCTATATGTCACACTAAACTGTTAGTATGAAACTATATATTTTATAATAATACTGTATAAAACTGTACTAAATTACACAATATAAACTATTTGATTTACACAATACATGATACTATATTTTATGTTACTGAACATTGATACTGTAAGCTGTATGATATTATACTATACTAAGATGTCAAGCTATAGGATATTAAACTATGTGATACTATACTCTAGGAACCATCTATTACCTTGTTTTTTCATTTTCGGGTCGCGGGGGGTCACTGGTGTCCATATCCAGCTTTCACCATGTGAGCGGTGGATGACGCCCTGGACAGGTCTCCAGTCCATCGCAGGGACACCCTGGACAGGTCTCCAGTCCATTGCAGGGACACATAGAGACAAACGAGACAAACAACCATTCACTCTCTCACTCACACCTAGGGACAGTTCGAGTTACCAATCGGCCTAACATGCATGTTTTTGGCCTGTGGGAGGAAACCGGAGTACCCGGAGAAAATCCATGCAGCACGGAAACTCCACCCAGAAAAGCCCCGGCCGGGATTTGATCCGGCAACCTGCTCGCTGAGAGGCGGTAGCTCTACTAACGAAGCCACCGTGCCACCCATACTCTAGGATACTATACTGTATTATAACATACTATAGGATACAATAAGATACTAAAATATGGGACATTATACTGTTCTATACCATTATACTAAACTTTGATATAATATACAATCTTACATGATACTAAACTGTTGGATACTATACTAGAAGATACAATATGGTACTAAAGTATAGGATACTATACTATGATACATTATGATACTAAACTATATAATATTATACTATGACACAATATGATACCAAGCTATAGGATACTACACTGTATATAATACCAAACTATGATAGTATAGTGTAGTTTAGTATGGTATGATGCTATACTATATGAAACTAAAATATGATACTATAGGATACTCAACTATAAGATTATATACTTTAATACAATATGATACCAAATTATATGATACTATGCTATAGGATACTAAACTATGATACTATAGGATACTAAACTATAGGATACTATATATACTAATACTATAATACAATATGATACAAAACTATATACTATACAATAAGATACTAAACTATAATACTGTAGGATATGAAACTATAGGACATTATACTTTATTATGATGCTATACAATATGATACCACACTATATTATACTATAAGATACTATGCTGAGTACTTTATAATACTAAACTATGATACAATGCTATGACGCAAAACAATATTATACAAAATAAACTATTCTTAATCAAACATTGTATGTTATACAATATGATATACTACTATATGAGGATAAAGTATATTGGTATACTAAAGGATGCAGCACTATGCAGTTAAATATATTGAACCATATCAAACCAAATATTCTACACTTTTTGATCAAATATGCCAAAATATACTATACAATGCTATAAAATGTATACCGGTACTATGTGATGCAAAAAAACTATACAATATACCATGTCAGTATATGGTACCTTACATTGCTGTATACAAAAAATATGTTGAATTTGTTCGCCTTGGGGAAACGTTATAAACTCGTTCCTGTTGTAATAGCTGCCTTCTCAAAATAAATAAACCTTTAAAGCACAAAACAAACATAAACCAGCGGTAAGAAATACTGAACAATCACTGTTTTTAGAGATGCACAAATATACATATAAAGATTTCTAAATATTCTGCATTTCATGAAAAATCTTTGTCTCTTCAAAGTAAGTGCGGAAGCACGCCCCGTTTCTAGATGTCCCCCCTCCCTCCAGCCTGTGTAACGCCTTTTCCCGGGTCGATCCAAGCCGTGCAGCCTGCTTCCTTTTTTCTGCCTGTGCGATTAGCCATGACGGTGGGAGCAGAGCAGACTTTTGCATGTTTTCACGCTCCTCCTTGAGGTTCGAGGCGAGGAGAGCCAGAGGGGCTGCAGAGGTGGAGGCTTCAGCTTTTCAGTCTGGCCTGAAAATCTGCATGACAGCCGGGATTAGAGAGACTGCAGCAGAGCAAACTGGAGCTGTGTTACCTGACAGACGCAGAGCTGCGTGGTGTAGACTGCTGATGGGGGGGTGGTGCACAAAACACGCTCGGAAAGATCGAAAATAAACGTGTTTTTGGTGGATATGCTTAGAAACACCCTTAAGGATGCAAACTGACAGTGTATAAGTGCTCA